TCAGATGACCTGGAAATCTATCCAAAGAGATGAATGTCACATAGGCATCCTGACTTGTAGTTGACAATGAGGAAAACAGTCCCCATGAATAGAGGATGGTTGAAAAGCAGAATCACAACTCTTATCCCAGAATGCCTTTATGCTGGACCACTTGCCCCAATCCAGATGAAACCACCATGGTGGAAACTTGTTTCCCTTTCCCATCTGCATAGCATGGATAATATTCTTCCCTTAAATCCACCCCCACAGCAGTGTTAAAGTCAGGCTAGCACACTTAGCAAAATTTTATTGAAGGTGCCAAGAGAATTAACTATCCACCAGGTGTAACCTGCAGTTGGCTATCCATACAGTTTCTCCTAAAGTCCACTGGCCTAGACCTTCCTCTGCCTAGCTGAGCCACCCACTTAGAGCAGAAGTCACCTCCCTTCTTCATACCCCATCACCACCCAGCAAACCTTCCACACATCTACAATGTTCTCACAGAGAAGGGAAGTAGCCCTCTTTCCCTGCTATATAAGGTCCATTTCCTAAGACCACAGCTCCTAACCCAGGATTGGCTTCTTCCTAGAAAAGTTGATCTGATAAATTTCCCTCCCTTTAGGGTGATTTCTCTCATCTGTATAGATTGTGGCCTTTCTGCATGACCTTGAACAGTAGCCTAATTCTGTACAAAAAAATATATGGACTATGTTAAGAGGTTGAGAAGGACAGTGGTCACTTCCAAAGGCACCTAGCACTCAGTATGAATAAAATCAAACTCAACAGTTCCTTCTGGTAGCTTCCCCCAAATCCGCTCATCTTTTCTTACTCTTATTTTAAACAATGGCATCAGCATCCCCAAAGTCATCCAGCCCAGAATCACAGGGGTCACCATGGTACCTCTCATTCAGATTCCCATACCTTCAACTTCCTAAGTGTCTTCGCAAAATGCTCCATCTTCCCCTTGTCTATGCCTTGGTTCAGGCACTCTCATCTCTACCTGACCAAGGCAGAGTCTTCCTTGATGTAGTCAGGGTGCTCTTTCTCAATTTATAATCCCACCAGAGATGCAGAATTATTGTTTTGGGCCAGATTTCCTGGGTTCAAATTCATTAGACTACTGTAATCCTGGGCCAGGTGTTTACCTCTCTGTGGCTCCGTCATCTCATCTGTAAAATGAGGAGAATGTACCTTTCCTCTGAGTTACTGCAGAGATCATAGGTGGCTATTCCTAAAATGGCTCCCAGTGAACCATCCCTCTGGTCTGCACACCCACATGTAATCCCCTCCCATTGAACGTGGACTGTACCCAGTTACTTGCTTCTAATAAATAGAATATAGCCAGAGGGAGGAGACATCTCTTTCATAATTGGATTTGAAAGACAGTGACTTCTGGGTTGTCCACACTCTTTCTCTGGCCCATCTCTCTTGCTTGCTATAAAGAAGCCAGCGGTCATGCTGTGAGCTGCCCTCTGGAGAGGCCCACAGGACAAAGAACCGAGGGCAGCCTCAGCCAATGAAGAACTGAGTCCTGCCAGCAGCTACATCACTGGGCTTTGGAGGAGATCATTCCCCTGAAAATCCTTCAGATAAATCCAGCCCCAGACTCATGAGAAACCCAGAGCCAGAAGACCCAGTTAATCTGTGCCTGCATCCCCAACTTGCAGAAACTGGGAGGTAATCAATGTTGTTCTAAGCCACTGTGTTGGGATAGTGTGTTATGCAGCAATAGATAACTGATAGAAGGATTAAGTAAAATAACACATAAAAAGGGTTTAGGCGTTGTGCATGGTCAATCAACTGTGGCCATCGTCATCATTATCACCAATATTTGATTGGACTGAAAACCCTCTGAGGGGAAAAATGATGTCTAGTTATCTACTGCAGCCCAATCACCTAGCACAGTGCTAAGACCAGAATCTTTTGGTCAACAATAAATATTTGCTGACTAAAAGAATAAAAAAGAAGGAATAAACTGGGATCCTCTAGATTCTTACCTCCCAGGCCAGAAAAGAGGCTGCTGAGAGTTGGAGGAGCAGACCTGCTGGGTGTCTGAAGACCCAGGTTCTCCCTCTAAACAGAAGATGGACCAAGTAAAGTGGGTGCATGTCTCCCAGGAGCAGTTACCACAAAGCTTGCCCTTGTGTGTATGCCACATTCTTGGAAGGCACAGAGAAAACGGTGACTTTAATATGGAAACCATCCTCACCTACCTTCTCTCCTGGTCTGCCAGATAGATGCTCCTTGAGTTGTGCATAGGAGGAAAGGAGGAGCTGTGTTTTATTTGGCTGTGTAACACTATTTTTCTTGATCGAAGAAATATATGCCAGAGGGGCTGAAAGTAGAAAAATAGTTCTCACCCCAAAGAGCTTTATTCCCCAAAGCCCAGGCCCCACAGAAGTAAAAAGAAGCTGCATGCGTCATTATTGCATTGATGGCCCACCCTCCCCAAATCTCCTCCATCTACATATCACCCACACCTGCTTGAAGACTCAGCTTAAATGCCTCCTCCTCCATCACACCTTTCCAAACATGCCAGGCAAATGTAAGCACCCTAGGCTCCTGTCCCACCCTCTTCTGATGCCTCCATCAGAGCATGCTAGGTTTCAGGCTTAGTAAGTGCATTCCTAGAACTGCCCAACCCACGGGGTCTACAAACCAGCTTCTGGAGGGCAAGAGCCCGGTCTCATTGCTTCTGTATCCCCATCTCATCAGAGTTGACAAAGCACTCTGAATGAATTACAGAGTGCTGTTTCATTCTGGATTCAGAAATGGCAGGATTCAATCTCTAAAGGGGAATTCAACCCCACTTTTACCCAAGAATGTGGGGGAGAGAAGATAGGGATTTACTCTAGAAGGAAAGCTTGCTGAGAGCTCTTTATTCCATGGTGTAAGGAAGTTGTGCAGGACACAACATCACAGAATTCAGTCTGCTTTAATATGGAAACCACCCCCATTCTCTGGACATTGACAGGGATATTCTCTTATCCTAAGCCAGTAGTTCTCAAAATGTGATCTCCAAATCAGCAACATCAGTATCACTTGGGACCTAGTTAGAAATTCAAATTCTTAAACCCTAGCCCAGATATTCTGGATCAAAAACTCTGGAACTAGGACCAGCAATCTGTGTTTTAACCAGCCCTCCCTCCATATGATTCTGATCACACTTAAGTTTCAGAAACCCCAGTCTAAGTCTACCAAAGCACATGTGGAAAAGGCCTTAGAAACACAATCCATATTGATTTAATAGTAAGATTAAAAGAGAACCCAAGATTATGCCCCTTGCTGTAAAATGCCCAGGATCAATGAAACTCCCCACTATTTTCCACAAAACTGTTCAACAGGCAATTAAATGAACTCAACACATTTATTTTAAATGTGCAAAATGAATTTTCATATCCTAAGAGTAACACCAGATGTTTTACCTCTTTTTCCTAATTGATTTTTCAGCCTACAGCAATTCGTCTTTATATTTTCCAGTTGGATCCTAATGTGTCAAGAAGAGTATGTTCCGGCAGAATTATTAAATGCCATGCATTTTAAAAGCAGCATAACTCAGACTGCCATGTATCATCTAGATGGTTGTCTCCCCAAAATATAAAAAACAGACAGCTATAGGTACCAGGCAGGAAAGCCAGAGAGGCCCTTTCAGAAGGTGGGATCTCCAGGCTCTTGGCTGGCTACAGAGCTGAGTCTGGGCATTGGGCCCAAGCCTGGGCTCTTCCCACAGAGTTCTGGACTCCCTGGTACTGAAGGATTTGTTGGCTGTGAAGGATTTGCTATGTGAAACCTGCAAGTAAACACCCTGCTTTTTTCAATGGGAAGTTTTGCCTTTAAAATGAAAAAGTAGGGTATGAGGTAGAGTTGAGTGGAGCCAAAGAGGCAAGGAGTGGTGCCTTTCTCAGCTCCTGGTGGAGCCCAAACAATCCCCCCCTCTGTTGGCTACCATGCCCCTGCCCAACTGAGCCGGAGGCCCTGTTACTGCATGTTTGAGCTGGTGAAAGGTCATTACTGACCAGGTTTTTTTCACTCACAAAAACTCTGGAGTCTGAAAGAAGACAAGGAAACCAAGGAAACTGAAGCCTCAGCTTTGAAGCAAACAAACTTCAAAGGAGACCTCCCTTGCAAGGACCCTGGGGGGAGGAGGTGAATGGAGATGGGGGTAAACAGCCCTGAAATCCAGAAAGTGCTGAAAAACAAAACTCTAAAACTTCTTAGGTAGATTGGAGGGGTGCCACTCCCTTCCCTGGAAGCTCCTGGGAGCTGGCAGATTTGAGCCCTCATACCTGCAGCAGGATTTCAATGTGGTCTCCAACTCCAAATTAACCTGTCTACATTCCAGAGCCTCAGCAGAAAAGATAAGGACCTGAAATCAGCTCATAAAAATGGGGCTACTCCAACTTTAAGTAGCAAACACCCAGTCTCCCATGGATGATATAGCCCTTCTCAGTCCCTAGAATAAAGCCTTCTAGGATCCTTCCAGAAACATATTCAGATGAAAGTTCAGTAAAGAATCAGCTCCTTATTTGAATTCTCTCTCCCACTTTCATTGAGGAATTCCTGCCCCAGTGCTAACAATCTACAGTCTCATCCAGGGTATTGTCTAACCCCTAGATCTGAAGGAGACCCAGTTAACAGCCTGAATAACACTGAGAATTTTTTTTAAAAAAGTTCTCTAAGCTTAAGATGCACACATAACAACTTTTCAAAGAAGCTAAGCCCCCAGAGAGACTTCAGACTATCTTTAAGACATGCTGATGGACTCACCTAATTGGACTCAATACACATTAGGTCCAAGATCTTTACTTTGGAGTCCAAGTAACCCTCTCATCTTCCTCTAGGAATGTGATAGGAACAACCTGGTCTCCCTCAATCACCCAACCCCACATCCCCCAAAGGGATCTCATCATCATTTATTATAGGAGAAATGGTGTTGTTATCAAGAAAGGGTCTTACCAAAGAGTTCTTCCCTTGTCCCAAATTCATAGATATTTTTATACACTATTAAACCACAGGAGCCATTTATAAATGTCATCATCATAGTCTTTTAATATTTTACATAAAAAACTGTATACACAGCTTATAGAACTTTTATGTAAACATCATAAGCTCACCACTTTGTCATTTGTCAGTTTATTTAAAAAATAAAAACAAGACAACAATTTAGTAGAAGTACCACTGGGCTGGGAGGAGAGGCGAAAAAAGGAAATGGGGGCAGGTTTATTCTCTGTACAGAGATGCAGAGAAAATTTCACATAGCTATAGAGACTGCCTTGTGAAAAATGAAAGTTTTAAATAGACCCCAATACTTTTTACCTTCCTTTATCAAAATAGTGTGCATAACCTGCACAAATAAAATCACAAACAGTGTTGCCACTTTTTCAAGAAAACAAAGCAAAAATTAGTGGGGTTTTTTCCCTCTCCTAGTTTAAAAGTCATCATCATCTTTTAAAAAACATCAGAAGTAGATGAGGTTACAGCATACAAGTATGGTCAGAATGCTACTGTCTTATGCAAATGACAAGTGCATTAAGTGTCAAACAATGAAACAATTGTGCAAAGAATTCTTTCAACAAAAAGTTTTTAGCCTTTAAATAAAACAACAGTTTCTTGGGCTGAACAATTTTCACTTGTAGGACAGGCACAAAGTTCGCTTATGGCAAAAACAGCCCTGCAGCGCAACCCCCTCCTGACACTGGTGGTTGGTGAGGGGTTTGCTGGGGGCTGATCCGCAGGAGACACTGTGTCTGGAAGCTGCGTTCTTCTCAGCCCCAAGTCAATTGCAAATGTTTTCTTCAGGGGTCGGAAAGATGGCCAAATCCAGTTCATGCTTGGATGGGCGCCGGATCCAGCCTGGGCTGGAACTGTTTTGGGGCCCTGGTCATTTCACTCGCCTCCACCATTAAATAACACCATCTCGCCTCCGAAAATAAAATTATATCTATATTTATATAACACCCCACCCAACCTCCCCAGCCCTCCCCTCCCGCAGTTCCCGGGGTCTATGTTACAGACAAGAGACCGCACGCGCTCGCTGGTTGTGGGTGAACAACTGACGGGGCGCGGCCACACTCCTGCGCCCTGCGTGTCCCTGGGGACCAGAGACGGGGGCGGGGTGAAAACGGGGCGGGGGGTTGAACAGACACACAACCACACACTCTGAGGCCTGGCTCTTCAGGAAAGGATGCTCAGGAACCCCTTGGCACTCGGCAGGGCGTCCGGACCTGTGCAACACTGCTGGACGCACACAGACACTGGGAAGGGGGCACCCGATGCCCACGCCAACTCTCGGCGCGACAACCAGAGCAGCCAGGAGAAGCCAGGTGGTCCGGCGGGGTCCTTGGGGGACGTGGGTCTCCCCTTCTCCCAGCTCGTGGGGGACGGGCCAGGGAGGGGGAGCCAAGCTGGCAGGGGAAGGCGGGGCGGGCGCGGTCCTCATAGCACCTTGCAGCAGTTGATGCAGCCGTTCTGGGAGCCGTAGCGCTTCTGCAGCGCGGCGCGCGTGGCGGTCTCGAAGACCTCGCGCACGCCCTCCTTGGTCTTGGCGGAGCACTCGAGGTAGTCGTAGGCTTGGATGCGCACCGCCATGGCGCGGCCGTCATCCGTGCGCACTGGTTCCTGCTTCATGCGGGCCAGCTCTGTGCGGACGTGCTCGTCGCTGCGCAGGTCTTTCTTGTTGGCCACCAGAATGATGGGCACGTTGGGACAGAAGTGCTTCACCTCGGGCACCCACTTCTCGGGGATGTTCTCCAGCGAGTCCGGGCTGTCCACCGAAAAGCACATGAGGATGACGTCGGTGTCCGGGTAGGAGAGCGGCCGCAGACGGTCATAGTCCTCCTGACCCGCCGTATCCCACAGCGCCAGCTCCACCTGCTTGCCGTCCACCTCGATGTCCGCCACATAGTTCTCGAAGACGGTGGGCACGTACACCTCAGGGAACTCGTCCTTACTGAACACGATCAGCAGGCACGTTTTGCCACACGCGCCGTCGCCCACCACCACCAGCTTCTTGCGGATGGCCGCCATGAGCGGGCCGGGCCCGGGCAGCAGGAGGGGGCCCGCGAACGCCTCGCTGCCGTCCCGCTCGCCGCTCACCGCTCACCTCGGGCTGCGCGCTGGGGGCAAGGGTCGCTAGCTGCACCCAGGCCCCGCGGTGGCGCGTTCTCTCGGTGCGCTCGGGCTGCCGCGGCGGGGGCGGTGGGGGCGCCGGGGCATAGGGTGCACCGTGCGTCTCGAAGCGCTGCTCCGGGGCTGTGGCCGCTCTTCTCGTCCCAGCCCTAGGGTGGGCGGCTTTGTGCGCAAAAGTGGCTGGAGCCGCGAACTCGGCCTAGCTCCCTCCCGGATCTGTCTAGGCCTCGCGTACTCGGGTACCGATGACTAAAGCCTGACTGCGGTGGCAGATGCGGGCTGCGGCCCTAGCGCCCGCTATTTAAAGAGTCCGGCCACTTTCTTAATATAGCCGCCCAATGGGAAACGAGCCGGCTGAGCTCATCGCTGCGGATCTTGACTCTGATTGGTCGCCTGCTGCAGCCCAAAGGCGGGGCCGGACAAGCTTGATTGACGGCCCAGGCTGCCGGGCTGGGAGAGGCGGCGACTGGGGAGTCTGCGCGGCGGCTAGCCCTGAGGGCCTGTGTCGCCACCCCGGTAGTTGCCTTCGCCCCAGCTTAAGTGCGCAAGGCCCCACTGGCAGGCTGGAGCCCACAGGGTCTGGGAGAGCGGGTCCGAGACTCGGTGCACTTTGTGGGGCGTTGGCGACTCCCTGCCCCGCTTCCTTGAAAACTCCCGGCGGGAGGGTAAGAAGAGGGCGGGGGTCGAACTTGTGGGGGAGGGGAGGATTTTTAAAGTGGTTTTGTTTTTAAGTAAACAGCCACACGTGTAAACTTTTGCATTCAAGCAAAAGTTATTTTTCCTTTCTTTGGAGGCGGCCCCTCCTGTGGTGTGGGCCGGCTCACCGGCTCCCCCCGTACTCGCCTTAGGGCAGCCATACAAGTTGACTATATAGTGGATCTGGCTCAGCCTCTTCCTCCAAGCCTTACTGCCCACCCCTTTCATGGCCCCCACTTGGGTCTCTAGATGAAGATGAGGGGAAGGAGCACTGTCCTAAGGCCTAACCCTTAGCACAATGAAAAGGGAAGATTGATGCCAGCCCATTTTAGGATTTTACAGTCCCCAGGGAAGGGCAGCTTCCACCCAGCTCTGCATAACTAATTCCATTCCAGTGAACTGTCAGAGGTAAAGAGTTAAAGAGAATTCAACCACCCCCAAACCCATTGATGAGATGAAATGGCTTGAACCCCCCCCCCCCAAAAAAAAAGTAGAGTGAGGTGGAGGAGGATTGCAGGTGGGGACACAGCAAGTTAGTGTCTGGTGGATACTGGACCTCTAGTCTCCTAATATGCACCAAGACTTCATTCATCCATCCCTAGAAGAGATGACACCAACCTCTGGGCTAGAAATACCTAAGTCAACCCACTGACAGGGACCCAAGAGGAAGGAAGCAGGCAGGGGGAGTCAGGGAGGGCCTCCCAAGACGAAGGAATAGCTTGAACCAAGTGGAAAGGTGGGAAATTGTAGGACACACTGTAGGAACAGGTAGTGGCTTTGTGTGACTGCATTTGAAGGAGAAACAGTTGAATCTCAGATCAGAGTCCATCATGGAGGCTAAAGTACCAACTAAGCAGGGAGTTGCATCCAGGCTGGATGAACTGGGATGCTTCTCTTTTTCTGCAGAGAGACCCTCCACATCATGGTGAGGTTATTGTCTCATAGTTTCATCTCCCTCTCTCAAATTATTGGGGCAGGGGACAGGATTTTATCTCATCTCAGCATCTTGAAGACCCAACACAATGCCTGGCCTTATGCAAAAATCAATAGATATGGTTACAGTGGCACACACCTTTAGCTCCAAGCACTCAGGAGACTGAGGCTCAGGAGCTGGAGCCACACTGGGCAACATAGTGAGACCCCATCTCAAATTAAAAAAAAAAAAAAAAAAAAAACAGTAAATGATGGTGGAAGGTTAGGTTCCAGAACTCCTCTGACATGTCCTAGGATTTATCTCAACTCCAGATTCTGCTTTAACAATTATCTGACTAAATCCTTGCAGCCAGCTATGTCCCAGCATTTTCACTTATAATTCATATGTTAAGAACTAGATCTTTATGTGACTCTACAGATATAATCAAGTCAACTAAGACATTAGTGCAGGTAACCTTGGCCCACCTGAAGTGATATCTTATTCAAAGACCAGGAATGCTGTGCTTCCTTGGCTCTGGATTAGCTCCACTACAAGGCCCCATTTTTTGTTGTTGTTGTTTTGTTTTTAGATGTACGGAACTAATTTGTCAGTAACTAAATAGTTTTGTTGGTTGTTGGTAATTTAGGGCTTTATTCTGGACTTTTTTTTTTAAGCTAGCCTATTAGAAAAATCTTATCTACACATGTTTTTCTTCTTTTAGTCAAAACTTTTTATGGCTGTATTGTTCGCACTGCTTTCCTTGGTCTTAATATAGCTTGAGAATCTTGGCTATGTCCTTAAGTTTCAAATATTACCAAAATATAAAACAATTAAAGCTTTGTACCATGTGTTTTTTTAAAAAAAAAAAAACAAACCTTAAATACAAAGGATCAGGAAGAGGGATTAAGTTCATTTGTTTCCTGATTTTCAGACACTATCTGAGTTGTTCTGAGCTCAAAGCTCAGTATCAAAATAACTTCTCAAAATATGCAGTATCGATGTCAAAGTAAACAAATAGAAATATCTATGTTCTACAGCAACTTCTTTTCCTGCTGTTCCTTTTTTTTTTTTTTTTTTTTTGCCCAGGATACTTTGACCAACCCTGCCTCAGACTGAACCATTTAGTGGATGAACTTTTCCAAACTAGCCTTATGCCCCACAGTCTCTTCCCTCCCCCTCCCCCTTCACCATGCCCTCCTGATGAAAGGTAGGAATAAACTTTAATTCTGTGGGACAAGTTATTTTAGTGATTTATTTTATTAACGTGTATGTTCATTGTATGACATACCCCCACCAGTGAGACAGGTGAATTCCATTTCAGGGAAAAGAAAGATATTAATGTATTCCCAATCTTCAACCTAATATGTTTGGTCTTTGTTTATTTTTTGCCCAGTGTCTCCTGTAAATCACTCCCTGCCCTTCAGACCAGACCAGAGTTTGGAATTTTCACTAGATTTTAGTGCCACCTTGTGGCAATCATGAGTTTTTTTTTTTCTTTTTAGAAAACAATTTTTAAAATCTGTAAAAGATTTTAAAAATATTTTGTGAATATTTTTATTTTAAAATATTTCACAGGATATAAATTAACTGTGTGTATTTACACAGACAACAACTTCACTAATTTACAAACCAATGGGTTTCATTTCCCCCTAATTATGATTAAAGAAATGTAAAGCAACTTTAACCCCCCTCCCCCCAAAAAAATCATAGGATTTTTTCCCCCAGTTAAGAAAGCCATTGTTGGATTCTCTGATATACTTAGAAATGACACTAATTCATTTACCCCTAAGCACTTACTGGGAACCAGAACTGCATTAGATATTTCTAATGCTTGTTGGATTTTAATTTTTTCTAACTTAAGTTGTAACTAAAGTCTTTGAGAAAAATTTCAACTTCACATCTCTCTGCAATGAACTTTAAAATTGGAAAGATTCTTCTAGAACTATCTACACTGTTTCTTGTAGAAGAAATGAGACAGTCCTGGCTGGTCCACTTGGAGCCCATGGGCTTTCTGGGTTCTCCATCTATTAGCAATGGCAGATAAAATGTCCTTTTTTGGCCAGGAGATTGACATCTAATATGAACCCTGGGGTGAGGAGAAGATTGGGCTCACAAGAGCACCACTATAATTAGACTGTTAAACTTAGAAATGTGGACACTGAACACTGACCTGACCTCTCTGTCCAGTGCAGGTCCAGGCCAAGGAGAATAGACAATGGGCAAAGCATCAGCTCCTGCTCTCTCTAAAATTACACTGTTATTACAGTAGCCACTAACAAAGGTGAGTTTGGTGTATTTGGAATGTCACTAGGGCCACTGAGGAACTGACTTCCTAACATTATTTCATTCTAATTAAATTTTAAAAACTGATATTCAGTTCAGTTATTGGGAAACCTAGGTACATACGAAACAATTTGGGCAGGTGAATCTACCTTTTCAACTGGAAAATTTTATGAAATCGAAACAGATTATTTTCAGTGAAAATTTAGCAACCAAATGGAAATGTGGTGTAATTATAAAATAAACATTAGACTGGAAGACTTAGATGGAAAAACATGTGAAATAGTTCATTAACAATTTTGACATAAATTACATAGCAAGATGGTAATACTTTGGAAATAAAGGGTATATTCCTAAATACATGACATCTAATGTTAGAAGTATTTGGACATATTATGTAATTTATTTTCACCTTTGTACATTTTTAATGTGACAATTAGAAAATATAAAAGTGTGCGTGTGGCTCACACTTACATACTGGGAAGTTGAAATTTTTCTCAAAGACTTTAGTTACTACTTAGGCTAGAAAAAAAAATTTAAATTCAACAAGCATTAGAAATATCTAATGCAGTGCTGGTTCCCAGTAAAAGTATGTGTGTGGCTCACATTGTAAGTGTGATTCACACAAATATAAAAGTGGACGTGTGGCTCACATTGTAAATGTGGCTCACACTTAGAGGTTAGAAACTCAGATGACCACAGGGGTCCCGCAGGTACAATGTCCAATGCCTGGAAGCTCAGATGCTCCCAGCTCTTCCTGTAACACTCTCTTCCTGGGGAGAGTTGCTGCTTGTGTGAGCCCTGTGGAATCTTCTTGCCTGTGCCCCCAGGTTTCCTTGTATTTGTCCTAAATGCACTGCTGGACTCCGATACCAAGAGGATCACTGAGTTCTGGGGCAACCCAGGCCCTGCTTCCCATGTGAGTCACTACTCTCCAGACCCCAGCCTCCCCCTCCTCTGCATCACTGCCCCTGAACTGGACCCTCGCCAAACTAGGCAGTGTTGTCCTGGACAGTAGAGACCATTTGGATCTTTTTGCATCCTGATCCCTTTTCCTTTCCAAAAGAAGAGATCAAAATCGTGTCCTTGTCATCTGCCCCCAATTACCCTATATTCCCCCATCTCCTTCTGCCCTATAAAGGCTTTGAAGCATCTAAACCTGGCTGGGCTGTTAAGTAACTGTACTCCCCATGCTCTCCAAGCACGTTCAGGAAAGAAATATGCCTTTTTCTCCTACCAATCTGTTACCCATTCATTTCAGCAAACCTTCAGAGGACGAAGAGGAAGCTTTTCCTTTGCCTCTATACACGCTGATCTGTTTTCCTTAAGAGAGAATCCAAATCTATACATATTGCAATTTTGTAGAAAGTTGTGGATGTAGCCATTCTCAGGAAGTTTGGATGAACTTCAGTCCTCTAGATTCAATTCACTAAACACAGATCTAGAGGAGAGAGTCAAGAAGGGGAGATAAAGACATGGACAATAAGGCATAGGGCAAAGACGAACACATGCTGGGGTACATATTACAAATATCAAAATAAGGGACAGATACAGCTTCATGCTGGAGGTAACACTCAGAGATCCTGAATAACAAGTAGGATTTTTTTCAGGAAAAAAAGAAAAAAGAAACCCCTTTGCACCATCTGAAACATTTCCTGTGTGGATTTTGAATGGAAAAGGTTCCACACAGAGCCATTTGATAGGAAGGGAGAAGCAGCAATAGGCAGAAGAATGAAAATGTCCCTCCTTCCCTGCTGAGGTTTGCCTGATGACAGAGGAGTGTGAGGTTTGTGGAGCCCTGAGGAATGGGAGGGCAGAAAAGAAAGAGGAAGGTCACAGAACTTGCCATTACGTAAGTGCTGTCATTACAAAATCCACCCAGGCAAACTCCGGCCTGCTCTATGGTGTCTGCTGAAATTACACACACATTTATCATTGTAGCCAAAGCCTGGGAAAGTGGCGTGTAGATTCAGTGAGCAGAGAGGAAGGATCCAGGTGCCAGAAGGCTGAAGGAGCTGCTTCTGAGCCCTTCAACCTCCAGGATCTACATCCTTGAGCATATTTTCTCAGTTCCCCTGTTTGTAAAATAAGTAGAACTTAGAGGTTGGAAACTCAGATGACCACAGGGGTCCCGCAGGTACATAACTGTGTGTAAGACATTAGGCTGTGGTAGCAACTGTGGGGAACTAGAGAACAAGCCGTAACTAAGCTATAGAAGCTCAGAATTTAAATTGAAACCATTGTATTGTTCACATTGTGTTGTCCCCTGCACAGGCAGGGAAGGCTAGCTTTAGCTAATGGAACCAGTTTGTGAGCAGGATGGATTTAATTTAAATGTACCCAGGGAGTATTAAATGTATCTAGGGAGCTTACCTGTCAAAAGTTATACTGTCAATCCTTCCATCAAATGAAACAGAGCAAAACCTTTCAAAAAAAAAAACAAAAACAAAAATCCTTTATTTATTTTATTACTCAAGACCTTCTTTTATTTGTATTGTTTTTAACTAAGATCCAAAGGGTAAAACATTACAAAGGATGGAACCTAGAGGAATGTGGTTTTAAGAATAAATTATTCTCACCCATCACAGTGGTACACATCTGTAATCCCAGTGACTAAAGAGGCTGAGGCAGAAGGATCACAAGTTTGAGGCCAGCCTCAACAACTTAGCAAGGCTCTAAGCAACTTAGTGAGACCCTGTCTCAAAATAAAAAAATAAAAAGGGTTGGGGATGTGGCTTAGTGGTTAAACTCCCTTGGGTTCAATCTTCGTATCAAAAAAAAAAAATGAGTAAGTTATTCTCACAGCTGAGAAGGGGCTCACATATGGAAGGGTGGGTAATCAACCTTACTGTGCCTGTCTACAGTGGAACAGAACACCACGTTTTTTTCTCTGCTTTTTTTTTTTTTTTTAAGTCTTGAAAGCAAATGATCTAATCAAAGTATTTATACAGGGATGATTCACTTCTGTGTTCTCTTGTGATGTCAAAATTTTGCAATAGGGCGAAGCTAAATTGACAATGGATTTCCCCACTCCCAAGTGTTACCACTGAAGATGTGTCTGTGGCTATTTATAGAATGAGACAGAGCCTACATTAGGAGCCACTGCTCAGAACCAGGGCAACAGAGGAGCAGAGGATGGATTCGTGGGGAGCCTCCAGCCACATAAGCACAGCTCAGCATGGGAAGCTGTCCTTCCTGGGGACCACAGTCAGAGAGGAGAACACTGAAAATCTCTCCGGTTGACAACCTTGATAAAACTGCTCTCTCTGGGGTCTGTAGGGTTGTGTGATCTCTGCTCACCTTGATCACAATGTGTAAGAAAGAAACTGAAGCATTTATAACTTGGAAATTTCAGTGATCACCTAGAAAGTTCACTCATCTATTCATTCCACTAATGTTTGCTAGGTGCTTCCTGTCTGCCAGGGACTATGCATAGGACCTCACATGCTTTAGGGTACTTAGTGTACTTGGCATCTCACAGCAATTGAACTTCCTAACTCCACAGGACGTAGGGATGGGGTGGATATGAAGGAGGTGGTGACTGTTGTGGCTTTCATTCCATCATTCATCCCTCCAACAGACTCGGCCAGGAATGGGACACAGGGAGTAATGAGGTATGTAGAGTCAACCCCTGAGAGCCCTGGCCCATAAATAGAAGTGACAATACAACACAGTACTAATAGCAATTAACCAGTCTACTTCAGCCTAGTGTGGTAAGCACCCTGATGGGAGGGGCTGAGGAGATGGTTGTGCTTTGGTGCCTCCAGTGAGCTACACCCTCCAGTATTCATCTCCAGCCGTCTCCTCCCCTGATGGCTCTGTGCCTGGCTACACTCCAGCTTGCACCAATGAGACATCAGTGAGAATGACGCAAGGTTACACACCCAGGCTCGCCCTTTCAGAATAGTTTTTCTCAGAACCTTCCTATGGTGCCCTGAGGAAATCAGTCAGCCATGTGGAAAAGCCCATATGGAAAAAAATTGCCCTTGGCCATTAGCTTCAGTTAACCTAAGAGCTGGTGGCCAGCACCAACTGCTCCCTCTGTGGGGTGGGATCATTAGAACCTTCTACCCTAAAGCCCTAGCCAACCCCATGGGAAGAGGAACTCCCTGACTCAACAATCCACAGGTCCATTCAATAATGAATTGTTGATGTCTTAAGCTACTTAGTTTGGGGATGAATTGTTCCATGGCACTGGGTGACCACAACAGGCTGTGTTGATGTTTGCATGGAACTTGCCAGGCCAAGAGAAGAAAGGCATTCCCCATATGGAAGCCTGAGATGGTGCAGTGTATTCAGGTACTGGGTAGGTGGCTGGGTTTGGGGTATGAGGGGTAGGTGACAAATTCTGGGGTTGGAGAGGCTGGCCAGGTCCAGATCAGGGCATCCAAAGGTGAGTCAGGAGTCCCCAAGAACACCTCTAGTTTTGATGATCCACTAAGAGGACTGATAGGACTTAACAGCTATGATTTATTACAGCAGAAAGACGCAAAGCAGAATCAACAAAGGGAAAAAGATACATGGGGTGAAATCTGGGGGAGCAGGTGCAAGGCCATTGTTCCTTTTGATAATCCTCAGTGTTCTCTCCCAGAGGAGCAGGGACCAATTTCCCCAGCCATGAGATGCAGCAACGCATGAGAACTGCTGCCAACCAAGGAGGCTCACTGAAGACGAGGTGCCCAGGACCCTAATGAGGGACTGTGGTGATTTATTTTATATGTCCACTTGGCTAAGCCATGGTGCCTGGATGTTTGGTCAAATACCAGCCTAGATGTTGCTGTAAAGTTTTCCTTTTTGTTTTTAGATGAGACAAACATTTAAATCAATAGGCTTCTAGTAAAGCAGATGACTCTCCATAATGTACATGGGTCTCATCCAATCAACTGAACAAAGTCTGAGGTTTCTGTATGAATGAGAGGGGAACCCCTGCTGGAGTTTCCAACCTGCTGTCCTGCAGAAGTTGGGCTCAAAACTGCAACTCTGAATTTGCAGCCTGCCAATCTGCCCTACTGATTTTGACCTTGCTAGCCACCTCTGTGTCTCTTTGTCTATCTCTCTACCTCTCTCTCTCTTTCTTTTCCTCTCTCTTCATATATATCTCTGGTTGGTTCTGTTTCTCTGAAGAACAATGACTAATTCAGGAATGCTCAGATAGGTCCCTTTGTCTGGCATATGCCTAAATTCCAGTCTTCCTGAAGGAAAGCAGGTGTTAAGCATCAACCATAATATTTGTACAAACACTTGAGGCACAGCGAGTCACTCTTAACAGTGAATGGTGAGAACTCTCCTGAAATCCAAGTTCCCAGATACCAGCAAAGGCCAAGCTTGTAAACAGACCTTTATGTGAACAAGCAGTGGGGCCTACTCTGATAACTCTTTTTGTAGGGAAGGTGAGTAGTTTAAATTGAGGTAACAGGGAGTTGATGGATTTTTTAAAAATGGAAATATGTTATTGTACTGAGAGTTTAAGGAGAGGGTGATAATGATGTTTTGTTTCATAAGGATCTGGGGTAGCCGTGTGGGAGTCCTCCAAGGATCGAAGCAGGCTTCAGATCCAGAGACCCTCTAGTCATCCATGCAGAGCAAGGATGGAGAGTAGGGAATGGATTTGCAACCACAGCAGGACCCATGGTAAATATGTTCCCACTTCCTAGGATGCCACCTTCTCTCCCACTCAGAGAAAGGCCTTGTGTAGCCAAGGTCACCAGCTGTACTGTGCCCAGCCCCTGGAAAGATCTCATCTGCCAGGCTCATCGAGGTGTGTGTGTGTGTGTATGTGTGCGTGTGTGCGTGTGCGTGTGATGTGTGTGTGTGTGTGTGTGTGTGTGTGTTTGGGGGCCATCACACGTGTCACACCTCTCCTCCTAGGTTATTGAGTAAGAGATGAGGAGGGTACCTGTCCAGGCTATGAGAGAGGAAGTTGGCAGGCTGGATCTGGAGGTCCAGTCAACTATTGGGGACCTGAAGGCCCTGCAGGGCCAGGCTCTTCTCCTGCTCTCTTTCCTCCTGCCATCCTCCTGCCATCTCTTTCCTCCTGACACTCTCCTGGATACCACTGGGACTCAAGGACATACCTAGGTAAAAGGATTCTGTGGGCCTCTAGAGTTCTGCTTCTCTAAGTATGGTCCATGGACCAGCAACACTGGCAGAAATGCAAAATCTCAGGCCCCAACCCAGACCAGCCCAGGACCCATGGAGTCAGAACCTGGATTGTAACAAGATCTCCAAGAGATTCATCTGAACATTAAGGTTTGAGAAGCCCTGCCCTGTTCGGGCCTTCCTGTACTCTGCCTGCAGGAGAGTGGCTGTGGTGGTTAAATTGAGAGTGGCATCTGCGAAGCCACACGCAGCTCTGCCTGGGTCCTGCTGGTACTAGCTGTAGAGTCTTGGCATCATCTTCCTGTGCGTCAGTCTCTATTCTGTGAACTGGAAATAGTGCCTCCTCCAATGGGTCACTGTGACTTAAATGAGTCATTGCATGTAAAGGGCTTGGAACAGGGCCTGATACATTGCAAATACCAGTAACTGTTAGATTTGTTGCTAAATATGTGTCAGTGGCCCTGGCGGTGCTGGCCCCACCCATTAATGTGTACACATCTTCCCCTACTGACCTGGCAAAAGAGTGTCCCCCAACATACTGCTCTGATGTTAGAGTGCCCCCCTTGTGGCTCTGCCCTTAGTCTCCAGGTCTCCTGAGGTGCCATAGAGTGGGTTATCTTGTTACAGGACAGCCCTTCCATTCTGGGAAGTCCCTCTCCTTCCAAGACCTCTTTTATCCAGGTTAATCATTTGTGGTCCTCAGAGCTGATCTCTGCAGGCCCTGGCTACTGACCCCTTAGCCATCCTGGGAGCACATGGCCATTTGTCTATGTCCTTAAAGTACATAGCTGAGATCAGGGCACAGTCATTTAGGGATGTCTCATGATTGTCCCTTCATATCTGCTGAGTTTTGAGGACAGGCCAGTCAGGTGGCCATAGGACAAGGTTTCTCTCCCAAGGGCTACCTCCAGGGTAACCCAGATAGAATAGATGCTGAGCTCCCCAAGAAGGTCCATATGGAGCCGCAAAAAAATGGAACCCCCTGGAGTTCTGGTGAGCACACAAGGGCAAATCTGAGTAAAGGTAAGCCCAGCAGTTCCCTCACATCTTCATGAGCTGACTATAGCAATGTGCCTTGTCATAGATGGGAGAGGGCAGATGGTGGCTCATCCCAAATGGGCAATGCTCCACAACCTTTGGACCATAGTAGGACTTAGAATTTCCTGTTAAACTTTTGGTCAATGTTTCTGGAATGCAAATAAAGTAAATCAAATCCCAAGGGATAATAAAGTGCTCTTGCTCTTTCTCTCGCTCTCTTGTTACCTGTGACTGTATCCTAAAGACTATCATTAGTATTATACTACTAATACATAATACTAACAAATAAATAAATAATACCGGAATACTATAGCTACTAAGGTTGATGGATGATTCTAATAATAATAATCACTAGCATGCCAGGTACAGTGGCACACGCCTACAATCTCAGCAGTTTGGGAAGCTGAGATAAAAGGATTGAAAATTTGAGGCCAGCCTCAAACTTTCAATTTAACAAGACCCTAAGCAACTTATTTATGACTCAAAGTAAAACATTAAAAAAAAATAAGGGCTAGGGATGTGGCTCAATGATAAAATTCCCCTGGGTTCAATACCCAGCACACTAACCTTAACCCTCACCCTCCTACACAAAAGAAAAAAGAATAATCACTAACAGTTGGGGATTAATTATGTGTTCATGCACTAGGTCATCTAACCTCACAATAATTGTGACAGGGACAAGGGTTATTGGCATGGAGAGTCACCTTGCTTCAGTAGCCAATTTCCAAATTTCCTTACCCAATTTCCAAAGTGGATTTTAGGTGTGCCTGCTGGACTGCAGGCCCTTTTCTGTGATCATTAGTGAAGTTGAGGAATGAAAGGGGCCTAAAGGCTAAATTGGTACACGTTTTATTTATTTTATTTTGGTACTGGGGATTGAACCCAGGGACATTTTACCACTGAGCTGCATCCCCAGTCCATTTGTTTATTATTTGACAGGGTTTCACTGAGTTGCTTAGGGCCTCACTAAGTTTCTGAGACTGGCCTTGAACTTGTAGTCCTTCTGCCTCAGCATCTTGGGTCACTGTGATTACAGGCATGTGCCACTATGTGCAGCCTGATATATGTCTCAAAGAGCCATGGAACTTCTCCCAGAAGAAGGCAACTGATCCAGAGGGCAGAAAAGGGATCCAAAGGGAAGTGGAAGTGAGAGAGGAGGAGCCAGCCCAGGACAGAGATGTGGAAAAGAGAGAGGAGAGATTTGGGAGAGGAACAGCTCTGAGGACAGGGATCTAGGGTAAAGAGGAGATTTAGGGGATTTTGACTGTTTGACTCAATAGCCCCCTCTGCTACCTCTTTGGTAAAGATCTATATACATTTACATTTCTTTTCAAGATTTTTGTTCATTTGTTTTTGTTTTTTGGTTCTGGGGATTTAACCCAGGGGTGCTTAACCTCTGAGCCACATCCCCAGTCCTTCCATTTTTCATTTTGAGACAGGGTCTTGCTAAATTGCTCAGGGCCTTGCTAAGTAGCTGAGGCTGGCCTCGAACTTGCAATCATTTGCCCCAGTGACCCTGGTTGCTGGGATTACAGGCATGCACTACTATGCCTAGCATCAAGATTTTTTTTTTTTTTTTTGAACTGCATATCTGTGTGGAAGCTACCCTGAACTGAACTTCAATCAAGGCAACCCAGCTGTATTTGTATTATACTATTATTATCCCCACAATTTAGAGATAAGGAAGCAGAGATTAGAGAGTTTAAATAACTTGCCGAAGGTCACACAGTCAGTAAATATTGAAACCAGCTTCCATGAGCAATCTGCTGGTGGACAGACACTGCGGACCACGGCGTTGATTCCGATGAGTGTTAGAGAACTGTTTTTTGCTAGTGCAATTCCCATTGCTACTTCTCCATTTCAGGGGCTTATACTTGCCTGTTTACACAAAAATGGTTCTAGAGCTCTTGTGCTGCAAGTATCATTTTGTTTACTGCCTCCTTGAAGTATACTTCCCAGATCTCCCCCTAGTCCTCCTTTCCCTTCTCCATGAACCACCCATCCCCTTCTTGAAGCAGTCTCTGAATGGGCTTTTCTAACCTGCCTGTATGAGCAGACAGTTCCCGTGCTCTTCACTGAGATTCCACCTTGAACTTAAACACAGCAGCAGCAAAGGCTGATGAAAGACCAATGGGCACAAGGGCACAATTGGTGCAAGAAGTCCTGCCAAACCCATGCACTCCCTCAGGGATCATGTATTGAGCTCACACTGGCAATCAGGTGTGCACCACTGTGGTCAGCTCTTGTACTAATTTCAAATCATTGAGGTACATATGAAATTCCTGTTTACCCTCTCCAATCCTGTTCCCCAGCCTCCTCTTTTGACTGTGTTATTTAACATTTCTCTGCATATATTATACATTTACTACCTGTCACTGTATCCTAAAGACTATCTGGTGGTGTTTTGCATATTTTTAACTTTTACGTGAATAGTAATGTATGTTATATAACTACAACTTCATGTTTTTACTCAATGATGTTATTTTGAGATTTAGCTATGTATTAACAGGTAGCTCTTGTTCATCCATTTTTACCTGTACTATATTCTATTTTGTAAATACTTATTCATTCTCCTGTTGGGCATTTGGGATTTTTCCAAGTTGTTTCTCTCTCTATCTCGCTCTTGCTCTTGCACTTTCTCTCGCTCTCTCTCTTTCTGTCTCCCCCTTCCCCCATACTTTTCTTTTTGGATACAAACTGTGCTGCAGAGACCATTGCTGCAGTTGGATAGGCCAACGCGTATACGTGTGAAGGAGATTCTGGAATATATACCTGTGTCATAGAAAGAAGCTTTTTATGAGACAAAAATCCAGAGTTGCTCTTCAAGTTTAAGAATTGCAGCTAGCCGGTGGGGGGTGGGGGGGTGTGAAACAGGTGGTGACACTGCCTCCAGCTTCTACATTGGGAGCCTGTGTCCTAGGTGAGCAAGTATGGACACCTTTCAGCAAGTGTATGTCCCTGAAAGCTCCACACAGTGGTGCATGCAATTGATCCCAGCAGCTAGGGAGGCTGAGATGGGAGGATTCAAAGCCAGCCTCAGTACTTTAGTGAGTCCCTAAGCAACTTAGTGAGATCCTGTCTCAAAATTTAAAAAAAATTTAAAAATATTTTAAAAGGCTGGAGATGTGGCTCGGTGTTAAAATGCTCCTGGGTTCAAATGTAACCTAAAGCTCCGTCCTCATCCTTGATGCCAATCCAATAACGAAGACAATCTTGAGAAAAAGGAAAAAGAAGGTTTTGGCTTTTCTAGCAAAGGAGAAACACAGGGAACTCCTGTCCCAAAGGTTGTGATTCTGCTTATCTGCAAGAGCAGGGGGCTTTTATAGAGGTGATTCATAGAAAATGAGATTAAGGAGGAGAGATCAGGAAAGAGAAGAACAGAAAAAAGAAGATCATGTAGGAGAAGTTTAGGGGAATGAAAAAAGAAATGTAAGTTTCGAAGCCACAAGGGATATAGTCAAAGCATCAAGTGAAGCCCTGTTACACAATCCCCAGTACCCCCCCCCCCAAAAAAAAAGTGCACCCTGTTGATGTCCTTTCATCCAGGTCTGGTCAGAGTCACACATAGAGGCCTTGCTATGAATCATTATTCTTGTCCGACTTCTCCTTTGTATCTACAGTTGGAAACAGATAATTTGGAGGATTCTGATGAATCACACTGAGTGTAGCAGTGAGGAATCAGGAGGGAGGGCACCATTGTTTAGAGAGCGGGGGAAATGGGTTTATCATTTAGAAATCAGGACTAATATTACATCAGCCTTTTCTGGGTTACAAACCACGAAGCAGAAATTTTCCAGTTCTGTGAGCTTCTCTGTTGGCCTCTGTTGTATATTAATTTCAGCTGGGTTGACTGGGCAGAAAGGCCCAGGAGTGTCTCACCCCCACATCTGGAAGTTGGTATAGGCTGTTGGCTGAGTCACCTTGATCCCTCTTTGAGTGGCTTTTCACCCTCCAACAGGCTAACCAGCTTCCTCACACAGAGGTCTCCAGGGCCGGACTCCACCACAATGGAAGAGATGCCATAAGGACTCCCCAGGGCTGGGCACAGATCTCAAATAGCATCACTTCCACTGAATCTGTTGGCCAAGGCAGGTCACAAAGCCAGTTGATATTTGAGAAGATAATTGGATGCCTCTCTTGTTGGAAGGAGAAGCAAAGACTCATTGCAAAGAAATGTGGGAGGGCTTGTTTCAGACATCTTTGACAACAATTTCCCATGACTGAGCAATTTGGGCAGAGGTGTAACTTTACCAGTCACCATTGTGCTAGTAGAGTCTTTTTGCAATTTCCAAAATAGATAAGGATGACATAATTTCCATGTCCCTAGATTTCCTGGCTAGAAAGTATTCACAGAGGGGTAGATTTTTAAATTATTGGTGGCTACTGGTTCTTCTCTTCATCTAAAAGTGTTGTAAAGAATCTACCTTAAACCTTTGTGAATTCTTTCAATGAGTATATTTTAAGCACCTGCTGTGTCCAGAGCATTGTGCTAGGTTCCAGGGATATAGAAGTGAACATAATAACATGCATGGTTTCTATTCTCCTGATTCTTTTTCCATGGGAAGGAAAGAAGCTTTAAGCAAGTAATTATAGAGTTAGATATTTCATTACTGTGGTATTTATTGCAGGAGAAAGAAAGCATGCCCAGAAAAAAATCTAAGTGAAAACTTTGTCCTGGGTCAGGATCAAGGGAAACTTCCTAAATCCTGAGGAACAAATAGGCATTGTGCAGGCTTATGGGGTGGAGGAAAGTGTTAAAGGGAACAAACATCTAGGGCAGAAGCAGCAGCATGGACTGAGGTCCTGGAGGAGCAAGAAGCCTACATGTATGAGGAACTGAGAAGTAACAGGAAAAGGGGAAGCTAGTCAAATGAGACTAGAGAACAGGCAAAGGCTAGATCATGCAGGGTGTGTCGACAGTATAAAGGATTTTATTCTGTCCTGAGAGCAATAGAAATGTGTAAGCCTGAATAATGGACTGAACTATGCCCCTCAACGTCCATAGGTTGGAGTCTTAATCTTCAATATGATTGTATTTGGAGATGAGCACTTACAGAGGCAAAGGGCACAGGGCAGAGCCCTAGCCCAGTAGGACTTGTGTTCTTAGAAAAAGAGGAAGAAATACCAGGAAAGCACGTGCACAGAGGAAAGGTCATGTGAGGACACAAAAAGAAGTTGACCATCTATAACTAGGAAGAGAGGGTTTACCAGAAACCAGTGCTGATGTCACATTGATCTTGAACCTCCAGCCTCCAGAGTGAGGGAAAATAAATTTTTATTTTACAGCAGC